TTTGTGCGAGTCGTAATTTAGAATCTAATTACATTTGTCAAATTATAGGCGTTATAAATTAAAAATCAAAAATATTTACCGCAATGCGTTTTTATATCACCATGACACATAAGCAAAATTATAACTCACGAGATTGTGACATGTATCTAATATTGATCAGATGAAGAATGTGTTAAAACTTATAATTAATTCAGAAAAATAAAAATAAAAATGAAAATTAATTGTCAAATTACTAATCAAATAATAAAAAATTAAAATTTCTAATATTATCAATAATTATTAAGAAACAAAGTTTATGATGAAATATAGACATGACATAAGCCATAAAATAAACAATAATACATGTAAAATCAAAATTTCAACTAAAATAAATAAAAAACGAATGATAAAAAAGTATATAAATTGGAAAAACAAAAGTTATAAGGGTTATAGAAACTTCAATTTAAAAGTTTAAAAATATACACAATCATGCAAAAATAAAATCTATAAGAATATTTATTTTCTCAATCTAGAAAGAAAATGAAAATTTTCTACTTTTGATGTCATTAATACCCTTCAACTGTATATATTGAAAATTATAATTGAGTTAAAAAATAATAATATTATATTTACTATTACGTTAATACTGTATAAAGTTTGACGAGTATCAATCTCTATCCGAAATAAAACGATGATATTAATAAAATACAATTATCATTCATGTACTTATGTATTATTCGTAATATTATATTTACTTATGTTTTGTTCGCAATATTATTATAGTTTTATGAGGTTACTAACATAAATTTTATTTTTTTCTGATTTAAAAATTTTATTTTTTTCTGATTTAACTATATAGTATTTTAGTAGTTTTTATTTTGTTATCACATAATCATAAATATTTATAATGAGTTAAATATAGATTTTTCTGTTATTAAGAATATGATTTATATTCGATAATATATTTTTTTATTTGTATGATATGTATTAAAACATGAGAATTATGATATAAATTAATTTTTACAGGTTTTAGGATTTACGTTAAATAGTATTTTAAAATTTAGTGGATTACCAATTAAAATTTAAATAGTTATTTCATGAATTTATCCGCGTATTAACGCGGATCTTATTCTAGTACATATAGGAACTAGGTAATCGATCCGCACCGTGTGCGGGTATAAATTTTAAAGAATAAAATAATTTTGGTGTTTAATATTTTGATTTTATCATTTATCAAAATTAATTGTACATGATTGTTTATTTTAAAATTATATGTATGTAAGAAATCAATATTATAGATGTAATATTTTGGTGATGGTAGGAAAGAAGAGGAATCCTACCAAAATATAGCTAAGATTAAAAGTGATTGTGAGTACTTGGAACTTTTTGGAATAAATCGAGGACTGATCTTCTAATTTATGTCATAGTCTTGCCAACTGTCTTGATTTGTCTATGATTTTCCAGAAGAACCACATTTCCACTTTACGAAACTTCCCGTAAGATAATTAGTTTGATCAAAATTATTTCTTCTTACCATTTGTTATACTCTTTGAGGTGAAATCTAATCTTTTGGGTATCATCTCAAGGTAAAAATAGAAAGGCAAAATATTGATCAACTAATTTTTTTTTATAATATTTACTTTTAGATGTGATTAATTTTTCAAGTTTGGATAGTATCGTTGATCTCAATAGCCAAATTACTATATACAATTAATCTCTACCATATCCGGAAAAAAATTTCGCCTCATAATTATTCAACTTAGTTGTCTTCATTTTTTTCGTATGAAATGTCAAAAGTGTGTGTCACCAATTAAAACCCCAAGTAAACATTTTTTACTTTCTATAAATGTATCGACCAACATTCTGACCAAATTCTTAGCCAAAATTGTTTACGATGCTTTCTCTACTAATTTATTATAATTTTTTGTAATAAAAATAGAATAAAATGATTTCACATTTCTCAAACAAAACCACTACATACATCTCTCTATACAATACTTTCTCTACATCTTAAATAGCGAATAAAACATTGGCCTATAGTCTATAATAATTAATCGTATTAAAAAAATATTAAAGACAATTTTGTTATCAATCATCCCAACTTTTATCATGAGTTCTTTTCACTTTTTAAATAATATATTGATTAATTTTGAAAAATATTTTTTGATGAGACAATTTTATTTTCTATTTCAGAAATCGTTGCGAATGTGATAAAAAAAAATTTGTCAACGGATCAACTCTCCCTACCTAAACAAACCACCAATAGTAAGGCAAAAGAAAACACCTCTTTACCTTTGACGGGCACTCTTTGCTTTGTTGATGTTGCGTGTTGATGTTGCGTGGGGCGACCCTTCTAAAATTGCGGATTAAGATGTCTCAAACTTGGTTTTGACAAGAAAAATAGAAGTCTCAAACTTGGAATTGAAATTATGTAAACTCAATCATAATATACTTAAAGGCAAAACACATATGAGAAAGACAATTGTATGAAAATGGTAAGATGAAGAAGAACCTTTGAGTAGGATTGAGATCTTTAAACTCATCCAATGCGCCTAACAATCAAAATCATTAAAAAAACTAATTCTTTTAACGAATCAAATAAAAAATAATACCAAGAGCCAATCAAATTATTGATATCTAAAAAATAAACATAAAATAAAGAAAAGCCAATAAAATTATGAGAAATTTAAAAAAATATCACTTTCCAAGTGCCACTTTTCAAAAATGCCACATTTTCAGAATCTTTGCAAAAATTCTACTTTTTCAAAATTATTTTTTCATTATATAATTTATGTTTGAATTAATTATGTTGTATTAGAGTTTAGTTTTGAGTGTTTAGAGGGTTTTAGGGGTCAGAATATTTTTTTGGGTTTAAAATTTTAAGATATAGGCTATATAAATCTATAATTAGTGGTATTTTTGCAAATGGACACCCTACGTGGTATTTTCCAAATGTGCACACAGAAAGTGGCATTTTTGCAATTGTCCCTAAAATTATTGAGGTTTCATAATAAACATTAATATAAATACGAAAAAAATAAATAAACAATAATAAAGTTTTACAGATGTTTTACAGTCTGTACAAAATCTCGTATTCACCTATTTCAAAGAATGTTCTTCGAATTGAAATGATTGGTCACAAAACTTAGCTCTTTGAGTGTATACCTGTCTAAATGTTGTAACTCATTTCATGAAGATGTAACTGTTAGTTTTACCAGAACAGAAAGTAATAAAAAAAGACAATTGAAAAGGTAGTAGTCGATATATCCACCAAAGAAATATTGCGCTCGGAAAGATTACAGAAAATTGTTTAACTGAAGCTTGCAGCAAATAACGTAATGGACATTTGAGGAAATTCTTATTCACCCATTACAATAAAAAAAAAACACCAAAGAAAAATCTACTAGCGCAAAAGTAGAACCTGGATCAATGAGAAACAAACAATTTTAACAATAAACCCGTGAAGATTTGTATACGAAATATTCATGCTCACTGTTGTATTGTTTAATGCACAAAAGTTTAAATTTTTTTATAAAAGATATCGAAAGTTTAAAAAAAATATCAAATGATTATTTTGTTAGTTACCCTATGGTGATATAGGTCATATAAGTGGATGCTCTATAAGGTTCTACAAAGTTCATAAGAATATTCTCTAATAGATATGGAGTTATCTATTAGATTTGGAGGTAACAAAAATACATTCTCAAACCCTTATATATTTGAGGAATATCGTTGTTTCAAAAAATTGAAGTAACTGTTTTGCTAGCTAATTTTTTTAACATATTCAAATCCAATATAGAAAATCTAAATGTTTGTTCTTACAACTGATTTTTTTAAATTAAAAGATAATTAGGCATATTCTTCTGCACCAAATTTTAATTAATTTAAAAATAGAAAATTTTGTTAATGTTTGCTTCTAAAACAGAAAAAAATCTTTGAAACTAAAAAGATGGTCTTGACATATTTTTTTAAATAATCAATTTCCATTTTTTTTTTGTCAAATCAATTACTATTTAGATTTATTGTTTCGAATATTTTTAAAAAAATCTTATTTGTTGCTACCAAATTTTATGGTTTATATTGTTGGAATCAAATTTATGTTTTAAGATTAATTAGATAGTTTAGTCATGTCACTATTTTTTAAAGGGCATGTCATAATTTTGTACTAATAGAATTAAAATACCTAAAGGTTTTTTACTAATTGTACTTGTCTTTTTAACAAGAAGGGGATATGAGAGCGAATAGAACTTGAAGAACTTAAACATTGTAGAATATGGACGAAACATCCATAATGGATTTATAACAGGGTTCCATTTTTAAAAAAAATTGAGTAGATCTCTTCCACACATGCCTCTGCAGATGAATGGATGACGATGAACAATTTAGTAATAAAAAAAAGCCATTTTTAATTAGTGAAAAATATAAAAATGAACAATAATGTCGCTGCTCTGGGTTTTCGTCAACGGTCTTCTTCTCTCTTCTTCTACACCTGCCTCTGCACTCTGCAACACAGACAAATCTGTACAAATCTATCTTCCTTAATTGCTTCTCCGTACAAATCTGTTCGACCCATCGATCATGGCAACTTCCTCTTCTTCCTCCTCCGTCGAATCCCAGCCGCAGCATCAAGTCTTCATCAATTTTCGAGGGAAACAGCTTCGGTACGGTTTCGTCAGCCATCTGGTGAAGGACTTGGAAGGGGATGGAATCAACGTCTTTATCGACGAACACGAAACTAGAGGTAACGATCTCAACGTCCTCTTTGATAGAATCGAGGAATCGAAGATAGCCATCGCGATCTTCTCGAGCATGTACACGGAGTCAGATTGGTGTTTAGACGAGCTCGATAAGATCATGGAGTGCGTTGACTCACGCACACTTGTCGTCATTCCGGTCTTCTTCAAAGTGGAGGCAGAGGATGTGAGAAACCAGACGGGAGTGTTCGGTGACAATTTTGAGAAATTGGCTAAGGATCATAGTGATAAGATCGATAAGTGGGAAAAAGCTTTAAATCGTGTCCCAGAAAAGATGGGCTACGTTTTAAATGAAACAAGGTACCTAGACCTTTAAATTGCCAAAGTTTTGTTTGACTATCAGGGTTTCTGATTTGGTTCTTTTTTTCTCGCAGCAAAGAGAGTGAATACGTCCTTAAACTTGTTGAGAATGTGAAGAAACAGCTAACTCGTATTTCGACAGAGCTGGAAGGTGAAGGAGATGAAAGGGCTTCTTCTCTGTTTGGCATAGAACCACGTATTAAGCAATTTGAAGAGATGTTCGATTCTGCCTGCGGCCGTACTTTAACGATTGGTGTTGTTGGGATGCCTGGTATTGGTAAGACCACCTTGACAAAGAAGCTGTATGAAAGGTTTGAAGACAAGTTTGCGCGCACTGCGTTTCTTCCAGATGTCCGTGAAATGTGTAGAAACGGCACAATGGAGCGGAGCATTCTCACAAGAGAGTTGTTGAGGAAGGAAGATGTGATCCAACAAGTCTCTTACATGACCCCTGAAGTCTTGAACAAACACCTACTCGATAAGAAATGTCTTGTTGTTCTTGATAATGTGAGTGACAAGAAACAGATAGAGGTTCTTCTTGGTAAATGCGACTGGATTACGGAAGGTAGCTTAATCATTATTACAACGAGTGACAGGTTGGCGATCGAAGGAAAGGTTGATGACACATATGAGGTCTCGAGACTGAGTGGCAGAGACAGCTTGCGGTACTTCAGCTATTATGCCTTTAGTGGTCACATCTGCAATATGGAGGGAAATTTCATGAATCTTTGTAAAGAGTTTGTGGATTATGCCAAAGGCAACCCATTTGTTCTCAAGATATTGGGTAGGGAGCTTCAAGGTAAAAACAATACTCACTGGGAAAAGACACTCCGCAAGCTAGCACAAAGTCCCAGTAAGACGATAAAAGGCGCCTTGCAGCTAATCTATGATGAACTCGCTCTGGATCAACAAAATGTGTTTCTAGACGTAGCGTGTTTCTTTAGATCAGGGGATGAGTATTACGTGAGGTGTTTAGTGGAGTCTTGTGAAAATGAGCCCATTGATGCTGCGAGTGAAATACAGGATCTTGCCAGTAAATTCTTGATAAACATCTCTGGTGGACGAGTGGAGATGCACGATTTGCTGTATACATTTGGCCAGGAACTTGGTTCACAAGGTCAGAAACTTGGTTCACAAGGTCAGTGTAGGGTGTGGAACCATAAAGGCCTTGATGCTGCTCTGAAGAACACAGCGGTAAGATATACCTTTGAACTGTTTGATATCAAGTTTAGCAAAAATTGGAATTCTCATTTTCATGACTAACTATAATTAAACTTCAAGATACTAACTTATTGTCTTTAACTGGTCAAGTAGGGAGCAGACAGCGTGAGAGGTATTTTTCTCGACATGTCTGAATTGAAGAAGGAACTTCTTCTGGACAGATGTACCTTCACTAGGATGCATAACCTTAGGTACCTCAAATTCTATGATTCTCGTTGTCATCGGGAATGCGAAGCTGACTACAAACTAAACATCCCTGATGGACTTGAGTTCCTTGCTTTGGATGAGATTCGGTATCTCTACTGGCTGAAATTCCCTGAGAAGAACCTTCCAGAAGACTTCAACCCCAAGAATCTTACCGACCTTAGCTTGCCTTACAGCAAGATTGAAGAGGTCTGGGTTGGTGTTAAGGTGTGTACTGTCTCTGTTTAAGTTAGTTTTCACTACTATCTTATATTAGACTTGCTTAGTTTTTGTGACTGTTGATTGCAGAATACACCGAAGTTAAAGTGGGTGGATCTTAGCTACTCAAGCAAGTTATGCAATTTGTCAGGGTTGTTAAATGCCGAAAGTCTCCAAAGATTGAGTCTTGAAGGTTGCACGAGTTTGCAGGTGTTGCCCAAGAACATGAAACGCATGAAAAGTCTTGTTTTACTCAACATGAGAGGATGCGCGAGTCTCCTGGTTTTCCCAAGTATCAATCTGAGATCTTTGAAAACTCTCATCCTCACCAACTGCTCAAGCCTTCAGGACTTCCGGGTGACTGCAGATAATCTAGAAACTCTACACTTAGATGGAACTGCAATTGTTCAACTTCCTACAAACATGGGGAAGCTCCAGAGACTGATTGTATTGAACTTGAAAGACTGCACAAAGTTGGTGGCGGTTCCAGAATGCCTGGAGAAGCTGAAAGCTCTGCAAGAACTGGTGCTATCTGGTTGTTCAAAGCTCAAGACTTTTCCAATTACCATTGAAAACATGAAATGTTTGAAGATTTTATTGCTTGATGGGACAAAAATTACAGACATGCCGCAGATATTGCAGTTCAACAGCTCAAAAGTGGAAGACTTATGCTCATTGCGACGTCTATGCTTAAGCGGGAACGATAAGATTAGCAGTCTGCAAATCTTCATCAGTCAGCTACATCAACTGAAATTTCTTGACCTGAAGCACTGCAGAAATCTTATATCAATTCCTTTGCTTCCACCAAATCTAGAGATCTTAGATGCACATGGCTGCGAGAAGCTGAAAACAGTGGCCTCACCCATGGCCGTTCTCAAGCTTGTGGAGCAGGTTAAGACTAAATTCATTTTCACCAACTGCAACAGTCTGGAAGAAGCTGCAAAGAATAGCATCACATCGTATGCTCAAAGGAAAAGCCAGCTAGATGCAGTTAGATGCTATAAAGAGGTTTAATTCCTTACACTTTCTTTAATCAAATCTATTTAACAACAATTTATGTTTTTTGTGTTACTATTGCAGAAAAATGTTTCAGAACCTTCCCTCATTACTTCCTTTCCAGGAAGCGAAGTACCTTCATGGTTTAACAATCGTGGGATTGGATCCAAGTTAAACCTTGAGTTTCCGCCACATTGGTGTGAAAACAGGCTTTCAACAATAGTTCTATGCGCTATTGTCAGCACTGAAGATGAAATCAACCACTGCTCAATAGAGTGCACTTTTGAGTTCAAAAACGAATCTGAGACTGACATACGTTTCAGTTACATTTTTGGTGGAGGTTGGATCGAACCGCGAAAGATTGATTCAGAACATGTGTTTATCTGTTACACCAGTTCGTCAGACATAACAAAACATCTAGAAGGGTCGTCGTTGCATTTGCGAGACCATCAGAAATGTGTTCCTCCAGAGGCTTCTATCGAATTCAAAGTTAGAGATGGAACAGGTGATATTGTGAACTGTGGTTTTAGTTTGGTGTACGAGGAAGCAAACCATAACCATGTCGTTATTGAAGAGAACTATAATGAAACTTCTCAAACAAGAGATTTTCCAGTTGGAGAAAGAATGTTGAGCATTGCTGGTGTAGTCTTTTTGCTTTATGGGTTTGCTAGATTTTTTATCAAGTAAATTGTATATTTTTGTCACCATCAAGTGGCTTATTTATATATATTTTGTATACAGAAAGTACAAATTTGTGATTGATCAGAAAGTAACTCATGAGTTTATGGTCGTAGTTGGCTAAGATACACCACCAATTCACAGAAACCTCTTGGTTTGGCTAGGATAGTAAGATTATTTCAACCTCTAGATTTTTTTGGATTTACTACTTTCTTTTTTGTATATGGGAAAATAAACATTATCGTGAAATGTGCTCTTGGTTTTTAGCTATGATAGTAAGATTATTTCAAGCTCTATTGTTCAATGGCAAAGCCTGGTTTGGATCAAATTCAGAATTACCAAATTGAAAACTCTTACCTTTGCCTCTTGCTGCTTCTTCATCCATTGATCTCCTTGGGGCTGCAGATTAATATGTGTTGCATCCTTCTCTCAACATAAAACGACTTCTTGGAAGCAACTGATCTTCTCTCTGCGATTTGGTTCCTCCGTCGTTTCTGCTTCCATCAACAATTGGGCTATTGAAAAAGTGCACTCTATTGAGAAGAAGAAGTGAGTTCAAGAGCAGCAAGCGTTTACAATGAGGAAGTGACGATGGTCAATCACTTATAGGGTAAGAGTAAAAGGCGGGGATGGACGCAAAATGCATAGCATAATTTTGTGTGATTATCTACACAACTCCGAAGCCAGCCAGATATCCGGTAAAGTCAATATACTATTTACATGTCTCTGTATCTACATAAACTTACAGTTTACTAAAAATTTACAGAGCGGATATATTAATTTTGTTTTGCTCCGTAAACTTACAGTTATTCGGAATTTTCATATCGGAGCATTGAGCGGATATTGCCCAGCCCTTGTAAAAAGGCAGCTGGGGTTTCTCTAGTATAAAGCTCGGCAAATGGGATTCGATCAAGAAAACTAGGACTCCATGATTCGGATCTTATCACTTTCCCTTCTTCTCTAAACCGATCTTGGTGGCTCCACTGGCATAGCAACCATCCTTGCATTTATCTCTCTACCTGCTGCTAATCACCACCATACACAAAACAAAAGGATTCAAAGATTCTCTCAGGTGAAATCATGCCAATACCACACAATATAAGATAGATATCAACAGAATGAAAGGGACTTCTTTGGGATTGCTGACTAAACAGTTGTACTCTTACCTTTTCCCAAGGAACCCGAGATCCCAACTGTTTTATTCACTTCCTCGGATTCCCAAGCACCGATATCTGTAACATCTTCATCAACTCCAATCATCTCGATAGAATCCTCTGATGTTGTATCATCTATCTCCTCCAGAAAATCACATCCAGATTTTTCGAATATGTTTGCTTCATTATCCCTAGCAAGGAGAAAGATCATTGCACAAGAACATAAAACGAGAGGTTTTAATGCTAAATTTCAACAAAAAAACATATAATCTCTGAGATATTCAAGCATAAATAATAGGACCAAAGCATACCACTTATGAGAATTCACTCCGGAAATATTTGCTAGGTCGGCCAAAGCTCGCACCCATTTCTGTTTCTCATCCTCTAATTTGCCTATGCATGTGGTTACAAAAGCCCTTCCAAAGTCTCCACTCAGAAGGAACCACATTGTAGAAATTAGAAGCTGACATGGAAAACTCTCTAATAGATTCTCAGGCAAGAAAAAAGGCAACGGAAGCATCATCAGATCTCAGAGTTTACATTCCGAAAACAAGAGACGATGTAGACAAACATCTTTACATTTCTGTGTATGCGGTTTTGGAAGAGAGAGAACA